AAACTCCCCTTACTTGAGCAAGGGTGTGACTTGAATAAGGGTGATAAAGGGTGGTGACTGAGGTAAAGGTGGTACCTTGAGTCACACCCTCTAGCAAGGTGATGACTCAAGATACACTGCATCCTAATCCTGCTCATTGACATAAGTGACAACTTACTCCCAAGTGGGGCCATAACCACAAGCATAGAGGCTAGGATTTACACAGCACATTACAAAATAGAAGATAATTACATCAGATCAAAAAATGGAGGACAATTATATCAGACCACAAGATGGAGGATGACTACATCATGACATAACTGCCAAATTACATCATTACATAAATGTCAAACCACTGAAAATCATGGCCCAGCCAAGCTGACACACACATATCCTTAACCATCACAGGTTCCGTATGCTTTATTTGCATTAGCAGCAATCTGTCCAATCCCATTGGTGGGCCACAAGCACTTTATTTGCATAGTCCTACCCAATCATTGTGTGGGAGTCTCAAAGACTATAGCTAGAAGGGCCATATTAAGTAATTCACTGCACCGCAGAAGATTTATACAGCAGTTTAGGTTCCCATTCAACAATTTCTACACACATTGTTCAGTGCCATTGGTTACATTCTTCACAATGTGTGAACATTCTCATTATTTTCGTTCTGGTTTTTCAGCTTGTGCTAGGAAATATTCAATGTATAGAGGCGTTTGGACTGAGCTCACGATAAAGGGTTAATCTGGACCACTCTTGGGCAAACATGGCACAGAAAGAGATGTGGCTGTTCTCAGAGAATATGTACTAAGAATGTTCCAGTGCATTGCAGTGGGTTGTTTTATATGGCCTTTCTCACCGTGGTCTTGTAACTCCCACCAAAAGACTGGGTGGGGCTATGCAAATGAGGTGCTTGTGGCCCACCATGGGGATTGGATAGTTTGCCAATAATGTAAATAAAGTGCATGGCACCCTTGGGATGGGGTCATGCAAATAAGATGCATGGAACCCTAAAGAAGGGATTGGTCATTTTGCCATCCTGCTAGGCTTAAAAGAGAGCACATTCCTGAGCAGACAGGGGAACTGACTACCACCAAGGAGAGATGGGTGCAGAACATGTCATTTGGACCCAGAATCCCTGCACTGAGACCCTCCTAGGCCCAGGAGACGAAGAGAGAGAGCTGCAACACCAGAGGGAGAGATGGAGTGAAGTGGCGCAGAGAAACAGCGGCAGCAGAGGCAGCAGAATCAGGATTGGCAGGAGATGGTGCGGTGGGGTGCCTCTGGGCACTTATTGGCAGAGCTAAAAGAGCTTTGTAACACTTGCCCGAGCAGGGCACAAGCCAGGCCGAGAGGCTGCGAGGCACAGAGGCCAATGGCCAGAGATAGGCATGCCTGCAGGTGCAGCTGAGAAAAAGCTGTCCTGACTGAAGAACTGTATCATGAGTTGTTTCTGATCCTGAATTGTAACCTGTTACTTCCCTAATAAACCTCACACTCGTGAGTATTGTCTGTGAGTTGTGTGTGGCCATTGCAAGGAACTATTGAAACCAGCAGAGGAGTAAAGGGTGCCATGGGAAAGATGGCTGGTATCAGAGTTGGTAAAAAGGTTGGAGAGTGGAGGCATATCTTACTTCCTCCTCATAGGAAACAGCCTTGTGCTGTTGATCTTGATTTTCCTTCCCCCTCCTGAAGTTAGGGAGGTCAAACACCACCACCATGCCATTTTTACATCCAAGAAGCATGTGACAAAAATGTTCTAGAAAATTGCTTGCAGAGACTGTTCTTAGAAAAGTATGTTAGAAAATAGATTCACATTGTTTTGCAAGATATTTATGGTCTTAGCCATGTTGAACTTTAAGTATAAAAACTCCACCTTTTCTCCTGCTCAGAGGAGCACCTTGCACTTTCACTTTATGCTGCCCAACTGGAGTTGCTTTATCCCTCAATAAAACTTATTGTCTCTTACTCTATGTCATGAATTACATTGTGTCCCCAAAAAATATGTGTCAACTTGGTTAGGCCATGATGCCCAGTATTGTGTGGTTGTCCTCCACTTTGTGATTGCAATTTTCCTACGTGTTGTAAATCCTAATCTCTGCTTGTGGTTAATGAGGCAGGATTAGATTACGTTAAAGAGGATTAGGGCACCCTTACTAAGGTCACATTCCTGACCTACTGTAAAGGGAGTTTCCCTGGGGTGCGGCCTGCACCACCTTTTATCCTACAAGAGATAAAAGGAAAGGGAAGTGATAGGAGCCCTAATACATGACATAAACACAATACAAACCATAAGTAACAAAGCACAAGCACCAGAAGAGAGACTAGATAAATGGGAGCTCCTAAAAATCAAACACTTATGCTCTTCAAAAGACTTCACCAAAAGAGTAAAAAGACAACCTACAGACTAGGAAAAAAATTTTGGCTATGACAAATCCGATCAGCGTCTAATCTCTAAAATCTACAAGATACGGCAAAACCTCAACAACAAAAAGACAAATAACCCAATTAAAAAATGGGCAAAGGATATGAACAGACACTTTGCCAAAGAATATATTCAGGCAGCTAACCGAAATGCAGATCAAAACTATAATGAGATATCATCTCACCCCAACAAGGCTAGCAATAATTCGAAAAACACAAACTAATAAATTCTGGAGAGGTTGTGGAAAGTCTGGAACATTTACACACTGTTGGTGGGAATGTAAAATGGTACAACCACTTTGGAAATCGATTTGGCGCTTCCTTAAAAAGCTAGAAATAGAAGTACCATATGATCCAGCTATCCCGCTCCTTGGAACATATCCTAGAGAAATAAGAGCCATCACATGAATAGATATATGTACACCCATGTTCATTGCAGCACTGTTCACAATAGCAAAAAAAAGGAAAAAAACCTAAGTACCCATAATGGACGAATGAATAAACAAATTATGGTGTATCCACACAATGGAATACTACGCCAACTATAAAGAACAATGATGAGGCCCTGAAACATCTTACAACATGGAGGAAGGTGGAAGTCATTATGCTGAGTGAATTTAGTCAGTCACAGAAGGACAAATATTGTATAAGACCACTATAATAAGAACTCAAGAAAAGGTTTAAACAGAGAAGAAAACATTCTTTGATGGTTATGAGGGTGGGGAGGGAAGGTGAGGTTTATTTACTAACTAGATAGTAGATAGGAATTATCTTTGGTGAAGGGAAGGACAGCAAACACTACAGGGGAAGTCAGCACAACTGGACTAAACTAAAGCTAAGAAGTTTCCTGAATACAATCAAACACTTCGAGGGACAGAGTATCAGGGGTAGGGGTTTGGGGACCATGCTTTCAGGGGACTTCTAGGCCAACTGTCATAACGAAACTTATTAAGAAAATGTTCTGCATCCTACTTTGGTGAGTGGCATCTGGGGTCTTAAAAGCTTGCAAGCGGCCATCTAAGATGCATCAATTGGTCCTAACCACCTGGAGTAAAGGAGAATGAAGAACACCAAAGACACAAGGAAAGTATTAGTCCAAGAGACAGAAAGGGCCACATAAACCAGAGAATTCATCAGCCTGAGACCAGAAGAACTAGATGGTGCCTGGCTACCACCAATGACCGCCCTGACAGGGAACACAACAGAGAGTCCCTGATGGAGAAGGAGAAAGGTGGTGGCACAACTCAAACTCTACTAAGAAGACCAGACTTAATGGTCTGACTGAGACTGGAGGACCCTGGAAAGTATGGCCCCTGGATTCTCTATCAGTCCAGAACTAAAACAATTTCCGAGGCCAACTCTTCAGACAAAGATTTGACTGGACCGTGGAACATAAAATAATACTCATGAAGAGTGTGCTTCTTAGCTCAAGTAGACACACGAGACTAAATGGGCAGTTTCTGTCCAGAGGTGAGATGAGAAGGCAGAGAGGGTTAGGAGCTGGTTGAATGGACAAGGGGAATCAGGGGTGGAAAAGAGGAGTGTGCTGTCACAGTATGGGGAGAGCAGTTAGAGTCGCATAACAGTGTATGTATAAATTTTTGTATGGGAAAAAAAAAATAAATTAGGAAGAAAGATATTTAAAAAAAAGAAAGAAAGAAAGGGAAGTGAGCAGAAAGTGGGGAACCTCATACCACAAAGAAAGCAGCGCTGGGAGCAGAGCCTGTCCTTTGGACCCGGGGTTCCTGTGCAGAGAAGCTCCTAGTCCAGGGGAAGATTGATGACAAGGACCTTCCTCCAGAACTGACAAAGAAAGCCTTCCCCTGGAGTTTACACCTTGAATTTGGACTTCTAGGCTACTAGACCATGAGAGAATAAACTTCTGTTTGTTAAAGCCATCCACTTGTGGTATTTCTGTTACAGCAGCATTAGATGACTAAGACACTCTAACAGAGCACACGAATTTCTTTGATAAGCTCCATTCCCACATTCTTTACCATCACTTAATTATTCTGAAGAGTCTCTAGGTGGTGTAAATGATTAATGTGGTTAACATGCTCAGTTGCTAACAGGAAGGTTAGAGGTCCAAGTGCACCCAGAGGTGCCTCAGAAGAAAGGTCTGGCTATCCACTTGTGAGAAATCAGCCACTGAAAACCCTATGGAGTACAGTTCTACTTTAACACACATGGAGTCTCCATGAGTTGGAATTGACCCCAAGGCGACTGGTATTTACTGTATCTTGACTGCCCTTCCCTCCCCAGTGTCTGTGCCCCCTGGTGGTGCAGCGGTTAAAGCGATTGACTGCTAACCAAAAGGTCGGTGGTTCAAAACCACCAGCGGGAGAAACATGTGGCAATCAGCTTCCATAAAGATTTACAGCCTTGGAAACTATGGGGTCACTATGAGTTAGAATCTTCTCCACGGCAGTGGGTTTGGTTCCCTCCCTAGTGTCTGCCCCAGGGCTCAGGGTAATGTATGGGTCACCTCTCCACCCCTGTGATTTTGCGGTCTAGCACACTCAGTAAATATATCTAAAAGATGCCCCACCTCACCCAGTGCGCTACCAGCCATCCATTTTCTTTCCCAATTATCAGCGTAGGATGAGAGGAGAGAAAACGCCGGCTACTGGGGCGTGGCCTTCATCGCATGGGGTGGAGCCGGGCGCTCTGCGGAGGGGGCGTGGCAGGGGACAAGGAAGCGCAGAGAAGGGAGCGGGGCGGGGCCCGAATTTGGGGGGCCGGGCGCTGGGGCTGGAACAAAGGCAGGGGCGGGAACAAAGCTCTGCAACACCCCATGCCCGGAGGGGAACAAAAGGCACTCCTGGCCCAGTGGCCGGACGCCTCACCGCCAGCGCCACGTGCGCCTGTGGTGGTGGTGGTGGGATAGACAGCGCCCCTCGTTCCGCCCCAGGACTCTGTCCGGCCCCCGCCTTAACGTGTGCGCACTTGGGGGGTCCGGCCTGGGCTCTCGGACCCTGCTGGCCTCCCGCATCCTCCAGGAAGTCCCCTCAACCTGCCGTAGGGTTTCGAACCGGAGGCCTCAGGACCCGAGGGTACAGAGGCAGGCCCCGTCCTCATGCGCGCTGCGGTCACTGCGCAAGGGGCAACGGCCCACTCCCAGCGGCGTGTCCATCCCTGGTGCTTCCTTGCGCGTTGTCTTCAGACAGGATTTCCCCTACATCCCCAAGGCTGTGCGCTCCGCTTAGCAGCATTCCGTCCTTAGCCCCCTAGACGGGATTCTCCTTCCCAAAGGCTCTGCTTTTCCCTCAGGCAGAATTCCACCTAGACAAACCATGCTTCCATTCTCAGATAGGATTTCCCACGACACACACACCTGTTTCCACTCTCAAGACAGGATTACAACACAGACCCTACTCCCCTCCGTACTCAGGATTCCCCACCGCCCACCGACACAGAGACCGTTTATCTACCGTCAAGATTCTCCCCTCATACAGACTCTGTTTCCCTCCTCAGACAGGATTCTCCCCACCTAGATCCTGCTCCCCCTTCAGACAGGATCCCCCGCACAAACAGGCCTGACGTCCTTTTTCAGACAGGATTTCCCCCACTGTTGAGGGTCGGGATGTCGGTCCCCCTAGAGGACAAACGGTAAAGCATCAGAGCCAGAAGAATGGCTGGCTAGGAGATGGGGAGGGTCGGGTGGGATTTCACGAACTCGCTGCTCTGTAGTTCCTTGGGGTCTACATTTAATTTAAGCAGCTTTCTGTGTTTCTCATATTTACAATAAAAATGTTAAAGCCCCAAAGTCCTCAGCCGCCTCAGGCGCTGCCTCCTCCTCGGACGGGGCCCCGCCCACAGGCGCCGACCCCTCTAGGAGCTATTGGTGACGCTGCAGCTGGAGACATCTCTCGCCAGCCGGAGGGGCGGGGTGAGATAGGGGTCCCGGGCTGCCAACGCACGTGCGCAGTACCGCAGCTGTACTTCGTGCGGTGTGGAGGTTGGGTTGGAGCGACGGGTAGCAAGCTTTAGGACTGGTGCGTGCGCCCCCGCTGCCGCCTAAATTGCGGCGGTGACGTCTCGCGCCCCGCCCCTGCCGCGCGCCCCGCGCGGAGAGGATTGTTGTTGGGGGTGGGAGGGGCGCGTGCGTACTGGCGACCTCGCCGTAGGCGGCCGCCTCAGACCCCACCTCCGGGCCGCACGGCGCCCAGGGCGCGTGCGCGGAGGCGTCGGCGCCAGTTATTTCTGTCCCGCCCCCCGGCCGCGGCTCTTTCTGCGAGCGGGCGCGCGGGCGAGCGGTCGTGCGCGTGGAGCGGGACGTGAGGGCGGTGT